ATACTTCCGCTTGTATCTACCGTATGCAAGGTCTTTTAAGACATCTTCGTTTGTTTTTAGCAAAATAGTAACCCTGTACGAAAGATACGAAAATGAGTTTCTTAATTTAAGTGCTCGAGATCTGATGAACTTTATACAATTCATAGGCGTCGGAACAGAGGGGATGGGGGGGGGAGGTAATCTTAGCCCCCCCCCTTTTTTTGCATATAATATAGACATAATATAGGCATTGAAAATTGAGGTTTACCGTTTTTTGTTGGTTTACCCCCCCCCCCTTTTCAATTAGCCACCCCACTTTCAATTTGCTTCCGACGCCTGTGCAGTTCAAGAATACAGCTAAGGTCATGATTTTTTTGAAATGACAATGTAAAAATTGCAGCAAACTAAATATTAATCAATCATAAATATATGATAGTATACATGTATATTTTATGTCCTTGTATCAATAAATGAGTGAACAGCCGAAATCTAAAGATTCTAGCCCCATATCCACCCCCTTCTCTCTAGAAATGAATGCAAAATAGGGATAATTGTAACCAAACACAGAGAAACTCTTTGAACGTTTACAATGCGATAAGATTGGCTCCCGCAGGGTGACTAATAAACACCTATTAAGACTACCCGTCGAATTAATATCTGAGGGGCATATGTTATCAATCGCCGTAATTAACTGTCCGTCAATCAACCCCCTCGTTATTGCTGTACATAGAGAACTTTGTAAACAAACCGGCTACTTTTAATCACCCCGCGCGCCTTGATTTTACTCACGCACGATCCCTCCCTGCCGGGTATTATAACCTCTCTGTACAGGGTCTCATCAGGGGCCACTGAAAACTCATTTCGTCCATACTCACTTAATAGAAAAAAAATCGTGCACTGGAATTTCCTTTAAGAAATAATTATATTGACCTGCAATTCAACAAACCTTATTACGAAAGCTTTACTTTTAATTAATACAATTACTTTGTGCATATATATATTTCCGTTGTGTGAATGCCTTGTATATTCACAATCATACGTAACTCTCCATGGTTGGACTACTTCTGGCAAAATCAAAATTATACACAAGGATTTTTTTTTAATCAAGATGTGTTATTCTCCTATGCCCAGTTATATGAAATGTAATTATTTTTTGGAATCAGACCATAGAGACGTGCAGGCGCGGATTTTTTTTCGTGCTATTAAAATATATGTTCCCTAAGATCTCTTTTTATTGGGTCTATTCAACGCATCTGCTTCCTATCAGCGCATACTTATCTATACTTATCACATACTTCATCAAAACGTTTAATGTGCTACAGAAAAAAAAAAACTCGTGTCACTGGCTAATCTGCTGTAACAACATAACACGCCGTTCTCTAGCGTTACGTAAGGTTCTGATTTTTTAAGCAGCTCCATCTTTCATTTCCTTCTTTTATAAAGCTATCTGAAGAATGTAGCCTTGCCCTGACAGATTGAGAACTTCCATATTGCACCACCGACAAATTAATAAATAGCTGCATGTTATGCCACCTCCCTGACAGTCTATAACTCAGTGTTGTTGGGAGTCTGTTACCAAGCTCTAGTTAATATAGTGTTCAAACATCACACGTATAATTCAGACGATGGTCATTATAAAGCTATTTGATGTGATCAGTTGATAGCGTCCGAACATCACAGACAATGGTCATCCTACAGTTAATTGTATTGATGGACCATCGTCTCAAGCCACGTCTAGAATACGTCTCTCCATCGTCTCAAGCCACGGTCCGGAGTCCGCATAGCTCTCTCCTACCAGAATGGGAGAGGATCGTACACTATGGCCGTGGTTTGCGACGATGACGTCTCTCCAGAATATACAGATTTGTTTTGCAATTTAGTTGTTAATTATCTTTCTCTATTGATATTTATTCCTTTGCTCGAAAGATCTTGGCGGTATATTGTTTTTGTCCTGTCTGTCTATTTGTCTGTTGTCAACTTTAACCTTGGCCATAACTTTTGAATGGTAAGGGCTGGGCTTTCATACTTCACATTTGTAATCCTTCTGACAAGACCTTTCATTGAATACCAACAATTTTGACCCCTTGACCTTGGAGTTTGACTTACTTTTAAAAAAAGATTATATTTTTGCCATAAGCTTTGAGCTGTTGGTGCATAGGTCTTCATATTTCACATTTGTAGTTCTTGTGAGAAAGGCTAACTTTGGGTACCAACATATTTGATTTACATTTGAGAAATGTTAACCTTCTATATGTTGCCCCGCCGGGGCATCAGTGTTTCACAAACACATCTTGTTATGCCCCTGGATCGAAAGATCCCGGGGGTATATTGTGTTTGTCCTGTCTGTCTATTTGTCTGTCTGTCTGTTGTCAACTTTAACCTTGGCCATAACTTTTGAACGGTAGAGGCTAGGGCTTTCATCCTTTACATATGTGATCCTTAAATTGTGACAAGCCCTTTCATTTAATAGTACCAACAATTTTTACCCTTTGACCTTGATCTTGGAGTTTTGACCTTCTTTTAAAAAACTTTAACCTTGGCCATAAGCTTTGGGCTGTTGGTGCAAAGGCCTTCATATTTCACTAATTGTATTTCTTGTGAGAATGACTTTCTTTGGGTACCAACACATTTGATTTACATTTGCGAAAGATTAACCTTCGTTATTTTGCCATGCGGGGACCTCAGTGTTTCACAAAGACATCTTGTTGAAAATGAAATTAGCAACATTGTTCAGTTTTTGACTGTCCTTGGAAAATGTGGAAAACATATTTAGTCCATAAATTCAAATTTTGATATTTGACAAAACATAGAAAAATTCATTTTATGATATGGTCATGAACTGTGCTGTGGATTTTTATGCCTCCGTAAACGAAGTTTCGGGGGTATATAGTTTTTGTCGTGTCCGTCCGTCTCTCTGTCTGTCTCTTTACCTGTCTGTCGCAAAAACTTGAACCTTGTCCATAACTTTTGATTTAGTGGAGCTATGACTTTTGTATTTCACATTTGTATTCCTTGTGACAAGACCTTAATTTGGGTACCACCAAATTTGACCTTTTGACCTTGACCTTGGAATTTGACCCACTTTTACACAAAAATTTCAAACTTTTACTTTGGTCATTTCATTTGAACAGTAGATACGAACAGTAGACCTTTTGATTTCCGTACTTATGAAAAAACTTTATCCCTGGCCATAACTTTTGAATGGTAAGGGCTAGCGCTTTCATACTTCACATATGTAATCCTTGCCTTGTATGAAGACCCTTTAATGGATACCAAGAACTTTGACCCTTTGACCTTGGAATTTGACCTACTTCTAAGAAACAAACATAGACCATAACTTAATTAACTTTTGAAGGGTTGGGCCTATTGCTTACATACTTTTTATATTTAATCCTTGTGACAAGTCCTTTCATATGATATCAAGAATTTTTACCCTTTGACCTTGATCTTGGAGATTGACCTACTTTTAAAATTTTTTTACCTTGGCAATAACTTTTAAAAGGGTAAGGGCTAGGGCTTCCGTGCTTCACATATGTATGCTTTGTGGCAAGACCTTTCATTGGATACCAATTACCTTGACCTTTTGACCTTGGAGATTTCCGTACTTATGAAAAAAACTTGGCCTACTTTCATATTTCATAATTGCATTTCCAGTGAGAATATCCTACTTTGGGTGCAGTTTAATCTTCGGTATGTTGCTATACGGGGGCATCAGTGTTTCACAAACACATCTTGTTTTTTAAGAACTATCTATGCAACCTAGAATCTTCCGTGTAGCAAATTTTCTAGTATATGAAGAGTTTGGTAGTGGCCACTTAAAACAGGTTTGCCTGTGTTAAGGAAAAAGTGAAAAATGTTTTTGAAGAAACCCGGTATTCTGATTTAGCATAATAAACCCAAGCATTTCAATGGTAGGTTGTTACTTATTTGAAAAATCATAAACTTTTAAGAAATGCTTGTTGATTCAAATTTACCTTCTAACCGTTCTATGAAAGATTGTGTTTTTAAAAAAGGGAAATGTAGAAATGCCTAACAAGGAAAATGTAATACATAATTTTGATAAAAAAGGACAGACCTATGAACTTGGGTTCATTTATAAGGAAGTATGAGATGAGTTCCATTAGTCACTTAATATTTATTAGTGGCATGTACATGTACGTGAAGAATTTTTGACTAGCATGCTTGTCAATGCCCCAGCTAACACAAAAACATTTTTAAAATGTTTTTAAAACATTTTCAAAATGTTGCGAAAACATTTTTAAAAATGTTTTAATCACGTGATTTTGTATGGTTTTTTAAACGTTTTTAAAACATTTTAGTGAAATATTTCAGCAAAATGTTGTCAGAACATTTTCTTAAAATGTTGCGAAAACATTTTCAATAATGTTTTAATCACGTGAATTTGTATGGTTTTTTAAACGTTTTTAAAACATTTTAGTGAAATATTTCAGCAAATGTTTCCGGAACATTTTCTTAAAATGTTACAAAAACATTTTAAAACAATGTTTTAATCACGTGATTTTGTATGGTTTTTTAAATGTTTTTAAAACATTTTACAAAACATTTCAACATATGTTATCATAACATTGTTTTTAAATGTAACAAAAACATTTTCAAAAACGTTTTATTCACGTATAAAACTATAATATAATATAAAAATCCTAATGTTTTATTTTTTAAGTTTGAACAATTATTTAATATGAATTTATTAAGAAAATCGATTAAACTTTGTAAATGGATTGTAATTGGTTCTCTCCAATTATGATTTAGTTGCTCTCTCTCTCGCTCTTTCTCTCCATGATAACCGACCCCTGCACCACCAGTCAGGTCCCCACGACCCAGACCATTACATCTGTAAATGTTCCTGTTTTGTTATATCCTTTCTACAGTATATATCTACATATCTAGATCTACAGTTTACGAGAAAAGGCTACAATGTGTTGTCATTGATTGTATCTCACATGTGCATATTTTAAAAGCGCGGACTTCCTTTTGTTGTGTCGAGTGTACATTTGGTACGTAGTTGCTAATATAAGCTCACCATGTGGAGCTGTGTAAGGATTTGTACAATAAAGTGTAAATTTTCTGGACGATGTAAGCAGATATGCTGACAGAATTGATTTTATTGATAAAACGGGAAAATTTTACATACTAATTCATAATAGAGCTGATGGATAGCTTGGGCCTTGTAGCTCGCGGCACCTATTTCGAAATATGAACTAATACAAACATTAAATAGTGGCTTAGAAGTAAGAGGAACACGACTCCAAGGTATCTGACTTAGTTGTGACTTCTCTCTGTGCATTTTATGTGGATTTTAGTATTTAAGGAAGTTTTACAGTAAATTGCAATAACATAGTTGTACAATTTATTTTAATTTTCCTTTCTGAAAAAAAAAATGTTCTAATTACAGAGATGTGTGGAATAAGGAATGGGACCAGGAAGAAATGACCTTCACGTGACTTTGGACGGGGGAACTCGGTACAATGAATCTTGCCCGCTTTGTTCTGATGGTAGTTTTCTGTTTAAGCCTGCTTATAAATCTTCTGATCTACATAAACAGTGTGATAATATCTGAACAAGCTCCTAAAATCTGGATTCAAAAAAGTCCGATAACTCGCCTATCAGACCTCCGACTGGACGATCCATCAGGGTTTCCGTTAAACCACCCCGATACTTGTAAAGGTGACGTGGAACTTATAGTTGTTGTTTGTACAAGTCTTGGAAATTCTAAATCACGTGATTCTGTCCGAAAATCATGGGGGATGTATTCGAAAAATCACTTCTACAAAACCAGACTGGTGTTTCTGGTCGGTCAGGGGAATGATACTCTTCTGGAAAGAGTCCTGCAGGAGAATAATATCCATGGGGATATTATTTTAGGGGATTTTGTGGATACATACAGAAATCTGACGCTCAAATCTATATCAATGCTCAAGTGGATTAACAATTATTGTGCAAACGCGAAATATGGCTTGAAAGCTGATGATGACATGTATATAAACATTCCAAACTTGATTTCCGCCATGAATTCAAAAAGTCGAAGAGTTAAACAATTTCTTATAGGAGATAAACAGGTTGGCGCTAGACCAATAAAAGACAAAAATTCCAAGTATTACACTTCATCAAAGGAATTTGGAGAAAAGGTTTATCCGCCATATTTATCGGGAACGGCCTATGCTTTTACAGTATCGGCTGCCAAAGCTCTCTGCGATATCACAAGCAGGATTAAACCATTCTGGATGGAAGATATTCACATTACGGGGATCTGTGCCCGCGCCGCCGGAATTCCAAGATTTGATCACAGGGGCTTCACCTACCAACAAAGACCCCCCTCGGGATGTTCATTTAGAGACAAAATTTCAGGTCATTATGTGACAGGGGGACAGATGATAAAAATATACCGGGAACTGTCGCGGGGGAATCTTAAGTGTTAATACGTTGTATATATGTTCATTCTTTTCTCTTTTTTTCCTGATTAACTATACATTCCAATCGAACACGTTTATAAGACTGCTCACCCTGTTTCATTTTCTTTGTGATATTTTATATAGACATTTGATCCGTGAGAACCGCTAGATCAGTAATGTGTTTTCAGAGGTAACTCTGACTGATGAGAAAGCCGGGATCAAGTGGTTTCCCTCCAAGACGAGCTGACCCTCATAAAAGATTCTTATCTTTCCAAGGAATTCTGTTTTGACAAAAGTGTTTGACCTACAAAAAAGGATGGGGTGAATTGGGTGCTACATCAATAACGGTGTAAAGTAATTACCAAGATAAGAAGCAAAATATTCACCTTCCTCTCAACTCCCATACTGTTATAAATATAGGGCTATAATTATGTGAGATGAATACAAAAAGCTGTGATATTGACATAAAATGTTATAACATTAAATGTTTTATAAATACATATTGTGTTACTTTGTATACAAAAATTATGAAGGAAAAACGTTTAGGAACATTTACTCGATCGCAGACAAAAAATTGGAATATCGTAATATATTATAGCACCATGTATAGTTAGAGTAACGGTCATCTAATTCCACACGCTATGGTCAGTTTTGGTTCTTTGGTCTCCTTTGTATCTCTCTATGTGTGTACGTTCCATAGTTAGACTTTATTAAAGATAATTATTTTGTACAATAATTTCTGGCTTTCCACATCGCACAAAAATGATAGATACCATGAATTATTGATAAAGAGTGGGTTAGACTGAAACAATTGGCAAATCAACACATTAATCTTCAAACATTTCATACTTCATTTTATATTTATGGTTAAATTTAGTATGTATAGTCCATAAACCAATTTCCTTGATGCATCGCGTATTTTCAAAGTTTAAAGAGCAGGAAAATATTCTTGCATTACCCGGATATTTTGAAACTTCGGAAGGCTGATAAAATCAGAGTTGTTATCGAGACAAAACATAACCCAAAGAAAACACAACACAGAAGGGGGGATTGAAATATGAGGCTTAGTGATAAGAACAGCTACTGAGGATTTCAACCCGTCAATCTCAGTAATCTCACTGGATAAACATTTGTCTCAATCCAAAAAATTTCTAGGATGGAAGAAAAATGTGAACATAATTCTGAAAATTACACAAGAGGGTGTCTCTATCTTATACAATGAGACAAAGAGAAAATAAGACTGTGACAGGCATGATATAACTATGTAGATTATGCATTTCAGAATTATTCAAAGGACCTATAAATGTCTGCATCTGACACAGTTTCCAGGTCATTACATATTTACACATGTCAAGGAACCAGATTTTGGAAATTCCAAGAACTGTATGTTGTATGCTTATTTTGTGAAAGGACTGTACAACTCATGGCCGTACGAACTAAGGGGGGGGGGGGGTTGCCCCCGATAATTTTTGCTTCCAACGGGCTTGTAACTTCCTATACTTTCTTGTCCTTATTTTGTGAATCTACTAATAAAAATTTTGTTGATATACAGTATTCAATAGAAAACTTACAGTATACTATAGAAAACATACAGTATACACAGTCACACACCCACCCGAAAAAACTGAAATTGCTTCCAATGGGCCTGTAACTTCCTATACTTTCTTGTCCTTATTTTGTGAATCTACAGTTCATCAAATACAGCAAAGGAATACAGAAATACCAGATCAGAGCCTGACATGTTAGGACATATTGTCAATAATCTGCAACTTAACATGACCTTTCATGAGGAAATACTTCAAGATCAAAAAAAAAAAATCAAGAAAAGGAAGTTGACGGTCTCAGATAAGGGAAAGCCAAGGTCACCAACTCAGCTGAACTGTGTTGTAACATAGCCACATGAAGATTAATCAAAACAGGTTTACAGGTAAAAGGATCAATTTTAAGAAAAGAGAAAAATGATACTTTAAATTTCTTTTCATTTATTATGGACTTTAACAACATTTTACACACACCTGTAAAGACATATTATGAAAAGAAAAGTAATTTACCAGGTAAATGTTAATAACATAGAACATCAATTAATTAGTGCTCATATTATATTATTATACTTTACTTATGCCGTTTATTAAAAGTCAGACAAACAAACATCTACATTAGAATTAAGCTTTGAATTTCAGGAAACACTTTAACAAGTACAAGATCAGTGATAATAGTGATACAAAGAAAACCTAATCCAAGCCAAACAAAGAGATTGAGCGACATGATATGTAGTGATACAAACAGCTGCAGTAAACATCAGACTGTCAGACAGGAAAATAATCTCCTCAGAGAAATAATCCATCTCAATCAAGTCTCAGATTTAAAACCAGAAGTCTCTGTTGAGACTGAAGCTCTACTGGTTTGAACTTATAGCAAAGGAAGAGAAAAGTACATAAGCAGCTGGGATTTGAAACTAAATAGAATAATGATCGTTGATAAAGTCTCTTTATGTTCTTAGTGTAGTCTACTTGTGTGCCAAGTTATACTGAAATCAGACCAAAACTGTAGGAGGAGTAGCATTTTGAAACAATTTTACAGACATTTCTATTTTTAGTAAGAGAGAATTATGTATCTTAGAGACTTGTGTGCCAAGTTATAATGAAATTAAACCAAAACTGTAGGAGGAGTAGCATTTTGAAAGAACACAGAAATTTCTATTTTTAGTAACCACGGCAACACCGTTCATCAAAATCAAAAACCGATATACAGAATTATGTATCTTAGTGTATTCTACTTGTTTGCCAAGTAATACTGAAATCAGACCAAAACTGTAGGAGGAGTAGCATTTTGAAACAATTTCACAGAAATTTCTATTTTTAGTAACCACGGCAACACCGTTCATCGAAATCAAAAACCGATACAAAGAATTATGTATCTTAGTGTAGTCTACTTGTGTGCCAAGTTATAATGAAATCAAACCAAAACTGTAGGAGGAGTAGCATTTTGAAAGAATTTCACAGAAATTTCTATTTTTAGTAACCACGGCAACACCGTTCATCAAAATCAAAAACCGATATACAGAATTATGTATCTTAGTGTAGTCTACTTGTGTGCCAAGTTATACTGAAATCAGACCAAAACTGTAGGAGGAGTAGCGTTTTGAAAGAATTTCACAGAAATTTCTATTTTTAGTAACCACGGCAACACCGTTCATCAAAATCAAAAAACCGATACACAGAATTATGTATCTTAGTGTAGTCTACTTGTGTGCCAAGTTATATTGAAATTAGACCAAAACTGTAGGAGGAGTAGCATTTTGAAAAATTGTTTGACAGTAACAGACAGACGGACGGACGCCGGACGCATTACTATCGCATAAGCTCTTCTGGTCTCTGACCAGTAGAGCTAAAAAATTATAGGATAAAACAAACATGTAAACAACTAAACAGTATGTGGTAACACAATCTTAATAAGACTTAATCAATGAATAAATTACAGTGCTATAGTAGAGTGTCTTCTTTATTATAGATTACATTCTGGCAACAGATAAAATCCTTGAAGCTTTGCAGATAAAAAGTACTGTATACACATGTACCTTTGGATTTCTTGGTCACCGAATTTAAAGCTAATGATTTGATACACATAGTGTATTATGCCTTAGAAGTCCTCTCGTATCACAATAAATAAAACACAGCTTTACACAGCATTAACAACATCAATCAAACACTCACAAAAATGATTATTGAAAAGGGAGATTACTCTCTCTAATCAAACTTCACAAATCTGACTATAGAGACGGGAGGCTACTCTTTCAAATCAATCTCTGAGAATAGAGTTGAACATGTGGAGTTTTTTTTTCTCAGTTAGAGGTGAGTATCCTAGTCCTCAATGCTGAACTCTGATAAATCCTCAAAGGAGAACGGATGGAACTTGTAGCCCTGTCCATCGTAAAACTTAGAGTTAAACTCCACCCTGAAAGAAAGAACAAAATACTGTATAAAATTCAGAATCGGCAAACATTTCAGCAGTTTTACGACATGACTAGCAGAAGAACATACCAGTGAAGACGAAGAGTGTGGAGGAATGCCGAGAGTCCCTCCATCAGAATCAGTACAATAACAGTAGCACAGGCCCAGAAAGCGAACACCCCCGCCAAAACAAACGCCCCCGCGATCCCATCCATCTGTAGAGCTATCCTCATCACCATGTTCCACAGGACCTCAGACAGCTCTAAAGAAGAAAAAATCAATTTAACATTTCTAAAATATATCAGAAATACATTGTAGTAATTGTTAAAATTGCAAATAATACAAAATTATAAATATATAAAATTTTGAAGTTCATCTCTAGATTAGTCATCAAGAATCATACAATCTTTCAAAAAGTTCTAATTACTATAAAAACTAACAATGCTGGCCTTATTTCAGTAGTATGTATACCCAGGTACTTGTTAGCAACCCAGTGGGTTGAGTTTCTGATAAACATCCATGGATATACTCAGGAATGTAATTGTACATTCTCTGAGATGCTGAACATTTAGGAAATTAGTCCAAATATCTGATGTTTTACAGGCTTTTTTCATGATTTCAATCTTTTATGTGCCAGGAAAACATCAGAACTGGCCCCATAACAAAAACTGGGAATTCGTCGCCTCTAGCATTCTTGGATTGATTTTTGATACACTGTACTTGCGAACCAAATTAAATGCTGAATCCACAACTTATCAATGGTACAATGCAATAGTACTCACCAACATCGTTTTTATTGTTAGTTTATAAAATATACAGATTAATTTTCGCGATCAAGCCTATTAAGGTTAAGTGTTTATAGAAACAAATATTTTATTACACTCTTGCACGCGAATAAAAGTTTTTGTTCCAGCGAAAATATTTTATTTCCTGTCATTTTGCATTTTAAAATCTTTCAAGATCTGTATTGAAATATGGAGTGATATTTTCTTTTCGTCGATATTTTTGAGTACTAGAGGCATTGTGCAATTGAAAAATTGCAAGTTCGGCCTACAATTTGGTTCGCAAGTACTGAAAATAGGCTCTAGTTGGAGACATGAAATTTCCAGTTTTCAATATATTCCCTCAGACAATCTATGTGTACTTACGAGCGTGAGCCAGACTGAGTGCCCAGAGACGAAGGTAAGAAGCTGTATGTGAGACACAGCCCAGACAGTATTCTATTGTGTGTATACACTGATGGGTGAACACATCTCCAAAGTTGAATTCCTACAACAGAAATAAAGAGTCATTAATAATGGTCTTTATCATTCCTACTCCTCAATGAATTAACTTTAAAAATTTCAAAATTCTCAAAAGCATTTAAAACATGTAAAGCCATAACCAACAAAGCAATTAATTTATAAATATCCTGAATAAGAAATAAGCAGAGAAAAAAAGGGACACAACTCGAGCCAAATGAAGCTAATGTGCTCTTACTAAAAAAACAAATTCTGAATAACATATATAAACTATTTAGAGAAATATCTACTTTAATTTCCTCTTATCAAAAGGTCACCCCATCCCTTAATTTTTACTCCATTAACTTCTAGTTTCCATATGAAAATAGATGGGACTGTATTAGAAGTTAACATCCAGATTGAAAAGTTTAAAATTTCATACAAACATTCAAAAGAGAATCGGATTTAATCCCTTAATAATTAAAATACCGGTATATACCAACAGTAACCAAATAATCTTAAATCACTTCCGTACTCACTCATTATAAAGGTGAAGTTAGCAAATTCTGGTCCCTTTGAGCCAGTTATTAGTAGCAACAATTTAGGTTAGTATAAACTAAATATACATGTAACTAGTGTATGGTACACAGAAAGCAGCTATAGAGGGTGTTTTTAAATGATGCATATTGTCAGGGACAAGTTGTGTAAATATAAATAAATAGAAGAGCAAAGCAGGATACAAAAAATATATCAGAAATAACTACACGTCTAAATGAAATACACAACATCATGTGTTCACCTCCTCAAGGGTCACGTCTATCTGGCCTTCACCTTCGTAATCTTGACCGATAATGTCCCCACTATTTACAGAGAGCGGCTGGTGTTTAAACTAGAAATTTTTAAAGAGATTATAGTGAGCTTTGTGATGCACACAGTTACATACTGCCTATTTCAGAGTTCTATCCCTTTACATGTGTGAAATATTTAAATCCCTACTCCCCATGCTAGTTTAACAGAGTAACATGTAAAGGGTAGAGAACTCCAAACAACCAGGACAAGGTAGAAGCATGGCTGCTGCAGCGAGTTAGTGTTAAAGTATAAATACAAAGAGTTTGGTTAACCATGACAATGTGTGACTTTTATCTCAGCCAATCAGAGGGGAAGAAGCCATTGCTTCCACCAATAGATAATCAGGACACCTCAATAAATGTCAAATCATGTAATCAATCATTCATGTGTTTTCATAACATGGGAATTTCATGCAATTTTGGTGCTTAGTTATTTTTCCCCCTTCTCTACGTCATAATCTGGTAATGAACTCACTGACTGGAGCTGAAAAATACAAATCACATAGGGTCATTGACAGTAAGCAAACTCTTTGTTAGAGAGGGGGCTGTCTGCAGCCCAAGGTCACCTCGGGTTCAGGGTCGTAATGTGACCTCTCGGAGTCACTGTGGTAGACGACCTCCTCTCCGTCGCTGTCGTCAAGTAGGTTACCCGTCGGGACTTCCTGGTACTGATACTGGCAAAAGATCGGTCTCTCATGAGTCATTAATATACAAATACCAGCACAGGGTCCACACAATAACACATAACACACATATCTTACGAGCAAAAAAATGCCATCCAAGCTATGCTTGAAGAATGATTTTGAATAAACTCAATGATTAAATGAATGTCTGAACTTATAAAAGCGTGTATTTAGTCATGCAATTCACAAAATTTGATATATAATGAACAAAACTTATTCACATCATCAAAGTAAAATGTGCAAATCAATGAAAGCTTAAAAAGAGATAGAATTACTTGTACACAAGTTAATATACGCATATATGTAAAAATATCTTGAAGGTTAAACTGTTCAAAGTTTAAGCACTTTTTTTCCTTCAAAATACTTCAGTTCACCCCAAAATTTCCATCATCCTAATTAATGGAATACATGTATAATAAAATTACCGGTATATGAAAATTATTAAATAAATATACAATTATGATTTTATTTAAGGTTTTACTGCTAAGGCATTCTGTTTTGATTTATTAATCTAAACAAAGCGTTAGGCCAGACAGTTCTAACTACTTTACGGTCTATTAACTGAACATCAAGCTAACACATCGCAAAAACTATCTGTATATGTAGTACAGGGTAGGTTTGTTAAAAAAATATTGCTCAAGTATTTTGAAAAGAAATTACTTTCAAAATATGTTTTAAAATTACTTTCAAAATATGTGTTTTACTCCAAGTTCAAGTCCCGGAATCATGAAACATCTTAAGCTTAAGTCAAAATCTTATCATTATGCTTAAATGTTGTAGAACTCAAGCAGATCAAAATTGAAATATGTTTCAAAATTGATTTACCAAAGTGTCGTTAATTAAAAATTTTGAAATTCATTTTACAGGCAATTGAAAATTTTTCATGATCCTGGGGCCAGAAGTGACAGAGTGCATTTTGAAATACATTTTCAATAGATTATAAAGAGGTGGTTAGACTCTCCCAATTTACCCAACTCCTTCTTAAATAAAATTATCATTTAAATCTCATATTTTTTTATTTACAAAGAAAAACTTTCACAATTTGCAGAAATGAATTTAAGATTTCTATAATATAAATATTCATATAAAAAAAACAACTTGGAGAGAGTCTGATATAATGACACATTATAAAGAAACCTACCTGTCCGAATTTCTGCTGATGTCTGAGATAGAACGGCTTGATTAGTAACATCCAGGGGATACAGATAACTGCCAGAATGACGAGGAAAGTCTGGAATCCAACCTGTAAAATAAAACATAAAAACGTGATCAGTATAAAACATACAAGGGATACCAGAAGTCTCTGTCGAGACTGAAGCTCTACTGGTTTGTACTTATAGCAAAGGAAGAGAAAAATACTTAAGCAGTTGGGAATTGAAACTTTATAACAGCAATAAATAGAATAATGATCCTTGATTAAGTCTTTCTATGTCTTAGTGTAGTCTACTTGCATGCCACATTACTGTAAACGTGGAAATTTTGACGATGTGCTAATTTTAACTATATTGACGATTTTTCTTTTCTCGTCAACATTTTCACTCGTCAAACTTCATATCATATATATAGCATCACAGACAAGGACCATTGCACATTACTGCAAAGTTTTTCGGTTTTCCCCTATTAAAACTAGATCAAAGTTATTGTTAATTTCCTTGGTAATTTGTAATGAGAAAACGGTGATATATAATCACATTTTTCAAAAAAACATTGAATCTAAACTCAAATACTGCATGCGTAACTTAGCCTAATTATCATGCCGTGCTTGACCTAGTTTGTCACCTCAGGCAATTGACCGCTTATAATGAAAACAAATTACAAGAGGGCAATTTATTTAATCATTTTTTTTCAGATAGTTTATACAATCTTACACATTGTAGATAATTTGTACAAAAATAAATTTTAGAGATTCCTTTGCTGCCTTTTTATCCCAGTGAATTCAAAGATACATAACTCTTGATTAAATATTTCGTCAAAATTAACACTCGTCAATTTTCGTAAACAAAAAATTGTCAATTTTTCAACCCGTCAATATAACTACGTTTACAGTATATTATAATCAGACTAAAACTGTATTTGAGTGGTATTTTGAAAGTATTAAACAGAAATTTCTATTTTTAGTAACCAAGGCAATGATGTTCATCGAAGTCTAAAACCGATATACAGAATTGTGTATCTTAGTGTAGTCTACTTGTGTGCCAACTTACATTGAAATCAGTCCAAAACTGTAGGAGGAGTAGCATTTTAAAAGAATTTCACAGAAATTTCTATTTTTAGTAACAACGGCAACACTGTTCATCGAAATCAAAAACCGATATACAGAATTGTGTACCTTAGTGAAGTCTTCTTGTGTGCCAAGTTACATTGAAATCAGTCCAAAACTGTAGGAGGAGTAGCATTTTGAAAGAATTTCACAGAAATTTCTATTTTTAGTAACAACGGCAACATTGTTCATCGAAATCAAAAACCGATAAACAGAATTATGTATCTTAATGTAGTCTACTTGTGTGCCAACTTATATTAAAATCAGTCCAAAACTGTAGGAGGAGTAGCATTTTGAAAGAATTTCACGGAAAATTTATTTTTAGTAACCACGGCAACAACGTTTATCAAAATCAAAAACCGATAAACAGAATTATGTATCTTAGTGTAGTCAACTTGTGTGCCAAGTTATATTGAAATCAGTCCAAAACTATAGGAGGAGTAGTATTTTGAAAGAATTTTACAGAAATTTCTATTTTTAGTAACCACGGCAACACCGTTCATCGAAATCAAAAACCAATATACAGAATTATGTATCTTAGTGTAGTCTACTTGTTTGCCAAGTTATATTGAAATTAGACCAAAACTGTAGGAGGAGTAGCATTTTAAAAGAATTTCACAGAAATTTCTATTTTTAGTAACCACGGCAACACCGTTCATTGAAATCAAAAACCGATACACGGAATTATGTATCTTAGTGTAGTCTACTTGTCTGCCACGTTATACTGAAATTAGACCAAAACTGTAGGAGGAGTAGCATTTTGAAAAATTGTTTACAGACAGACGGACAGACAGACAGACAGACAGACAGCTAGACAGACAGACGGACGGACGCCGGACGCATTACTATCGCATAAGCTCTTCTGGTCTCTGACCAGTAGAGCTAAAAATAAAAACAGCCAGAATGAGGAGGAAAGTCTGGAATCCAAACTGTCATACAAAAGCAGCAAGCATCAAGACAATTATCATTTATTTAATCAACAATTTTTGTGGAAAGTTTAATTTCCATTGTTTCAAAGAGACCATAATACATATCCACCATAAAAAGTAAAATTTTCATATTCATGGAAATACTTAATATTTCTTCATCGAACTCAAATTTTCCTTTAAAACAACGAAAAATTTACTCCATTGGCAATGTGTGATTTTCAACTTATTTAATGAGGCAATTTGATATTCAAAACTTTTTTGATCTTGCAAGGACAAAATAATTCAAATTTCCAGAAATAAAAAAAAAACCACCACCAGTCTGAACTCTCTTTCATTATTTATTTCATAGAATAAGCAAATTCAACTTTCTTCTTCACTGGATCTTCAACTTAGTCGTTAATCATATAGGGTGAGTTCACCATGCATCGGACACATACCTTGCTTCGGACAACTTTAGGCAATAAACTCTCTTTCAACTCAAGAGTTCTGTGTATTTATTTGTTTCTGTCATAAAGACGAAGATTTAAATTTTTTAATAATACCGATTGTGTTTATCATGTTATGATAAAAATACCCCGCAGATGGCCTTGAAGTTACGTCATATTTTACATCATCAAAGGGGAATAACCCGAAATTTATGATTTTGCAATTTTTAGAGTTATCGTTCTTTTAAATTCGACTTCCACGGAACGAGTCGGACTTTGGTGAATTTTGTCAGGGATTTGTAATTTTACATAAATTATAATTAAATTTCACTTCAATGTTTGTTTAATTCTTATTAGAGCTGGTTTTTACTAGTATGCTATTTTCACCGTACATCGGACACAAATTAACCATGCATCGGACACTTTTCGATGCAAAGGTAAGCACTATCATTTTCATACAGAACCCAGCTGACAGCTGTTTTTTGCGGAAAAAGAAAATAAAAACTCTATATTTTCAGTCAAAATACAATTTATCGATATATGACGTCTGGAATTTTACTCAATTTATTTCTACAAACCAGAGTATGATAAACCATGAGAAAAAGGCGCGAATTACGGCATTATAAGCATGTTAACGCATTTCTAAGGCAGAGTGAGGTCTCGAGAATCGTTCTACATTTGTGCAATAATATCGTCGAATAAATTAAAGTTGAGGGTTATTTCTTAGATAAATGATGAAAATAAATCCATTTCAAGGATTTTAAAACACTGTGATAAAGGTATGATATTTTTCCCT